ACGTACCCCCCACTACCAGGGCAGCGGTGATGCTCCAGATATAAAAGAAAACAGGAGATGACTTTCTTTCTTACCCAGCGATCAACACGTCACAGGAGTGCTCTTCCGGCCGACTGTGAGGTGCCATGTTGGGTGGCCAGGATAGCTTAAATATGGGTTCTGACCTAAAAACACAGAAAGGGAGTCACTCCCAGAAACTCCAGCTACCAAGACAAAATCCTACAATTCATTTCACTAATCCAATATTAACGCAAGGATAGCTCATGGTATCTACAGAAACCAAATGGGACATTTTAAAAATGGAGCTTCCTGGTCCAATCTACTGATCAAAATATTGCGAAACAGGGCTAAAAATCCATTCTTCAAATGACTCTTTCGTCAACACTCCAGCACTGGCCCCAGGGACTGGCATTGATCCCACTGCCTCTTATCACAGCAAAATCAGCAAAAGCTAAAACATTCAGCGACTGAAGTTCTTGTAAATATATTAAATTTTTCTGAAAGATGACTGATATTTAGCAATAAAGATATTGCTTTTAATTGAAAATGGTAACATCCAGCCTTCATACAGAAAAAATAATCTCTTTAAAAATCAATACCGAGCCTATTAATTCCTGGAAAAATCTGAACACCCTACTGGAGAACTGAGTTCATCTTCCACCTGCAAAAATGGAAGTCTGGTATTACCAAGTAATATTAAATTCCAACATCTACAAAAAGAAATGGTGAGTTTGAAAATGAACTTAAGATAGCTCTATTTTGTAATAACACATTAGAAAAATGTAACCTAAGCCACGGTTAATATAAAACTAAAATCAAAAATTAAGGGTAATTGTAATGAGCATTCCCTAGAAATTATGAACCAGCCCCTGAGTAACTGTCATTTATTAAGAATTTTACACTCAGTATAAAATAATATTTAAGTAATAACATGAAACACAGAGTCTACATTAAAGAACACAAGGTAGAAGAAAGTCAGAACTAGAATGCATGTTCAATAGATATGCTTTTCACAGATCAGTACTATATGGGAGAGGGCGGTGCTTAGGGAATATAACCTTTAAACATTATATGGAGGTTAATAAGTACTTTGTCACCCTTATAAACTGGAGTATCTCACACATATATGATCACACCACTAGAACTGTATTTATTCAATATAAATGTACTTATATTTAGTATTATACCAGTACTTATTATTCAAGAAAGGAGATAGATGACTTCATTACAGGTTTCTGCAGGTCGAAATTGCACGGCACTAAGGGATACATCCCACTAAGCTGATGCATCATAAACAAATGTACAGTCAGCCCAGCTTCATCCCTGGGGTCGGTGCACAGGACAGCATATCCTCAGCCAGGGCTGTGGTATTTTGGGGTGTTGGGTGTCCTGGGAGATCTCTAAGCATTCGCCACTCCAGCACTTTAACATAGTCACAAAACTTAGTTTCCAAAAGGCCTGGCAGGGACCTCATAAGCAGGGCACAAAGAAAGCTCCACTTAGAAAGAACAGGAAGTTGCCCAAGATTTTTCTGGTAATTTCAAGACTGTGTGGAGTGTGATTCAAACCAAGTGAATTTGATTCAAATCTGCCAATTATTTATTGAGCCAGTTCGTGCCAAAAGCTCACATCTATCATTCCTTTAACTTTCACATAACAAAACTATAATACTTTCAAAGTACAGGGGCTTAATATTTAAATATAATGGCAGTAAAGCCCATTAAGCAGTAGGAACAAAAAGATGACAAAAATCCACCACTCCCCCATCCTCAGTTATGAGAAGGCACAATGATTGAGGGCCAGACTTGTATGTATATTATGATCTCTTTCTTTCTTTTTGACCTCAGTGGTTCTCAAATGTCAGTGTTGCATAAGAAATACTACACAGGGTTATATACATCTACTTCTGGTCTAGCAGCATGGTAGACTGAGCTAATACCAAAGGTATCAATTCAAATCCAAAATGCTATATTAAATATACACAAATATGACCAAAAAAAGTTAAACCATTGCTAGGCTCACAGAAAAGGATGAATCCAGAAAAAAGAAGAAAGAGAAAGACAAATTGTAAGCTGAGCTGCATGTCTGGGGCCTGGCACTTGGCTTTCATGTTGGGTCTTAGGTATTTTTTTGAGACAGTGTCTCGATCTTATTGCCCAGGCTAGAAGTACAGTGGCATCATTATAGCTCACAGTAACCTCAAACTCTTGGGCTCACTCAATCCCTCTGCCTTGCTGTAGCTGGACTACAGGCATTCGCCACACACCCAGCCAGGTTTCTATTTTATAGAGAGGGGGTCTCACCATGGTCGCTCAGGGCTTGTCTTGAACTCTGACTTCAACAACTCCCACCTCTGCCTCGACAATGCCAGGATTATGACATGAGTCACATAACCTGGCAGGGTCTTGGGTTTTAAGGCCATATGAGGGACAGTAGTGAGTCTGCATAAAACTTTATGAAGCTTCTATTGGCAAAAATGTCAACAAATATGATTTCAGATAGTATAATACAATGAAGAAGAAAAAACTCAGGGGATAGAAAATGATGGATGGTAGTGGGAAGTATTTAGGTGGTCAGGAAGATGATTGAACTAAATCTGAAAAGAATCAGCATAAGAAGAACTGGTGGTGAGGGGAAGAGTATTTTAGGCAGAGGAACAGCAGTTACACGGAGACACTGTGAGGGTAAACAAAAATGCATGTAAGGTATTAGCACCATGTGTGGTATCTAGTAAGCATTTCACCAGCAGCACTCCAGTGTGATGATGATGATGGCCACAGTGCCTCTTGTATCTGCCAGTTACCACATCTCTAATGAAAAGCAGCCATTGGAAGCGACAGAGCAGGGTTTAGCGTGGGCCATCTGTGGCCTTACAAAGAAAGCTCCAAAACACTGGTGATTAACTAATGCCGTCGGATCCCCCCATTTGAAATGAGGGAGTATCAAGGAGGTAAGGAAGATCGAGGTAAGGGGCTCAGCAAGGCAGGGACAGGCAATGCATCCAGGCCCAGCACTGCCTTGATTCCCAACAGCCTGCTCAATCTAGTCCATAATTTGGGTCTCTTTGTTTGAAATCAGAGGAGTCCAACCAACACACTTTCATTTGACAGCTGAGCTCATGAGCTCAGGAGGTTAGAAAATGCCTTGGTGTCAAAAGCCCACCCTGTGCATCTCTGAGAGTAAACCCAAGCCTTATGGTTTATATTCCTCCCTTCTGCTTCCCCAATGGCCTACTCCTTGTCGAAGGTTCCTCAGCTAGAACTTGGGTCAAATGGCCACAGGCTCCATCTCAGAAGGCAACGCAGAGTAGCTACCACCCTTAAACCAAACCACTTTCTAAAATAGAAATAAACTGTACTAACTTAACACATTAACTGCCATGTGAGTTGTATTTAATACGTGCTGGTTTTGAGCCAGAGCCTTGTGAAGCATATGAAACTCACATGTCTTTCAACCTGGGTACTGCGAGAACTTATTTTTCAAGTTGCATGTAACACACATAGAAACAATAAAAATAACAAATTTTCATTAAATAGAAAGGATTATTTGTTTTCAAAGTTTTTACTCATTTTGTAATAAAACACTGTGGCCCCAAGGAAAAAAACTTTTTTTTTTTTTTTGAGACAGAGTCTCACTTTGTTGCCCAGGCTAGAGTGAGTGCTGTGGTGTCAGCCTCGCTCACAGCAACCTCAAACTCTTGGGCTCAAGCAATCCTCCTGTCTCAGCCTCCCCAGCAGCTGGGACTACAGGCATGCACCACCATGCCGGCTAATTTAATATATATATATATATATATATATATATATATATATTAGTTGGCCAATTAATTTCTTCTATTTATAGTAGAGATGGGGTCTCGCCTTGCTCAGGCTGGTTTCAAACTCCTGACCTTGAGCAATCCGCCCGCCTTGGCCTCCCAGAGTGCTAGGATTACAGGCGTGAGCCACCGCGCCCGGCCTGGAAAAAAACTTTTTTCTAGTGGCAATATGTTAAACTTCAAACTCAAAAATTGTTTTTTTAGAAAATCTTTTTAATTTTAATGGTTTTTCAGAGATAGTGTCTTGCTCTGTTGCTCAGGTTGGAGTGCAGTGGTGTGATCATAGCTTATTGCAGCCTCAAACTCCTGAGCTCAAGCGATCCTCCTGCTAATTTTTTAAATTCTTTGTAGAGATGGGTCTCCTTATGTTGTCTAGGTTGGTCCTGAACTCCTGGACCCACGCAATCCTCCCACCTAGGCTTCCCTAAGTGCTGGGATTATAGGTGTGAGCCTCTGTGCCCGGTCTCAAAAATGAGTTTTAAACTTAACTGTACCCTGCAGAACTGTCAAAGAAACACTCAGCATACCTATTTAAGTCAGAATTTGACCTATAAATTGCCTGAAATTCTAAAATATAAGAAAGCAAAACATGAAGACATTCAAATCTGAACTCATACTCATTCTTGGCTGTTAGCTCTGCTAATCCTCATTTCCTTATCTAATTATTATCCCTGGGGAGCAATCTATGACAGATTTATTTTAGGAAGATAGCAGAAGATAAGAGCAAGGCTGCTTGCTTTTCTCTCCTACTTCATGCAAATGAAAACTCTGGTGTCAGAAGATTTCAGAAAGAGTAGCCCAAAGCATTCTGAGATACAAAATGATTTTTCATTTCAGGAAGATGGGTGTTCTAAAGTCCTTGGGCAGGTGAAGTTAATGGTGTTTATAAGATCTTTGTGCAATTCTAAATTTTACTAGAATAAATAGATTATATGAAAAGCACTATAGGAATTTAAACATGGTATGGTACAAATTTCTTGGCTTCAGGCTAACTGTATAATTAGGTCATAAATACACACATGATTCTCTTCCAAAGAATGTATGGTTTTTTGGGGGTTTGTTTTTTTACTGGAGCTGCCTAAATTCCACTGAAATGTATGAAATCTGGAGAAAATCATTGTAAGTTAATGAAGTTTTAAAAAAGTTGTTTATTTCAAAAAATAGATGAAATTATATACTATACCAAGAGTTTGATGTGGTTCACTTTCTTCAGACTTTCCTGCAATCGTTGACTCTGAAAATGACAAAGAACAGCTTATATGATTTCATTAGACATAAGTAGCTTTCATGAAGGTCTTTGCAGGTCTGCAAACAAAGATCTCAGGCAGACAAAGTCATCTGCAACTTGGTGATTTCTAAGTTTGGCCGCCAATTTCTGCATTTCAAAATCTGCAAATATTTCCCAATCTTTCAGTTAAAAATTACATGTAGTGATTCAGGAAAAGCTGTTTGTAATGAGACATATGTGAATCCATCATATTAGCAATATAAGTCAGTCATTCAAAAACTACTGAATGCAAATGTGTACAAGTCACAATACTGAATATTGGGAGACCAATGATAAGTCTCTTAAGAACACAGTGTGCTCAAGATATGGGTAAAAGCATGGCTCTGCCACTTATCACCTGCAGGACCATGGATAAGTCATTTAATCTGCCACTTACTGCCTATAACCTTGGACAAGTTATTTAGCCTGCCTGTGCTTCAGTTCCCTCAACTATAAAATGGAGATGATAATATTCCTCTTACAAGGTTGTTGTGAAGATTAAATGAGTTGATACACAATAAGTGCTTAGAAGCAGTGTCTAGAGCACAGTGTGCATTACGCAAGTGATGGCTACCATCATTATCAATGCCATCATCACCACTGTATTAATGTCTCAACTCCAATTCCCTCATCACTGATAGAGAGGATAATAGCATCTAACCAAGGGGTTGGACACATTAATTCAAATGATATTCACTTAGTATTGGACAGTGGAAAGCCTCTCATGAAAACTCACTCTCTATATGTTATCAGTGGAACTTACATTCTAGTGAAGTTGTGGAGATGGAATGAGATGATGTATATAAAGTACCTCATCATGCCTGGCACTGAGTAAATACTCAGTAACTGCTACCCAAGAAGAAGATGATGATGATGACAACGAGGAGGAGGAGGAAAAGGAGAACACTAATTTCTACTCTCAGGGAATCTATGGTCTAGTATGAACTATAAGGTATGAATGTACACAGATAACCACATCTGCCAAATTTCCATGCAGCTTAACATCTGCATTTAACATGGGTGAGTCAGCAGTAGGATAGCATTCAAATCCTCAAGAATATTTGGATCAACTACACTCTTTGTTTGAAGGAAGATGCCAGAGCTGTGGTGACCTCAAGGGTTTGGTAGTTAATGCCAACATTATTTTTCTGCACGACACAGGCCAGAGGGAATTGAAATATTCTCCCTTGAGTGCCTAAACCTTCCCTAAATTGACTAAGTTACTATAGTAACTTAGAAAGGTTTCTCTTTCGTAAGAACCAAACCTCAAGATGTGAGCTAATCACACAATGAGGAACACTCCTAAAAATATGGTGCTTTTGTAAGCATGAGTATAAGCCTCAAAATTATTTTTTAATGTAAAAATGAACTATCCTAACATACTATGAACCAAAGATTACTACTAGAGCAATATGAAAATACTAATTTTTCTTAAATATAAAAATGATACTTGAAGGGACAATAATATATTTAAAACAAAAATTTAAACCTATATGCATAGCTTACTATATGATCAGGTACTACTATAGGAGCTTTACATAGATTAACTCATCAAGTCCTCACCACAGTCTTTTGTTATATTATCCCTATTTCACAGGTTAGAGAATGGAAGCATTGAGGTGACATGCTTCTGAGCACAGGTAGGGCTCAGCTCTCACACTACATAAATGACTTTTATTTTTTGCTTTCTAAATGCTATGGTCTAAACGTTTGTGTCCTCCCAAATTTCGTATGTTGAAACCTAACCCCCTAGTATTAAGAGGTAGGGCCTGTAGGTGGTGATTAGGGTATGAGGATGGAGCTCTCATGAATGGGATCAGTGCCCTTATGAAAGAGGCTAAAAGGAGTATTCACCCCTTTGGCCATGTAAAGACATGTGGAAGTGGCCGCCTTAAGGCACAGGCCCTCGCTGGACACCAAATCTGCTGGCACCTTGATCTTGGACTTCTCAGTCTCCAGAACTGTAAGGAATAAATTTCTGTTGTTTATAAACTACCCAGTCTAAGGTGCTATGTTATGGCAGCTCAAATGGATTAAGACACTAAACTACAGCATAATTACATATTTTTCACAATTAGAACACAGGAAAAGGAAAGAGGATGAGTATTGTCCCCAGAGCTCTGCAATTTGGGAACCTAAGCCAGCTGGTGTTAAAAATATCCATCCCCTCCATAACCAACCTCTAACCTTCCTATTCTCTAACATTAGAGTCAGTCAGTCATGGGGAACAAAGGGGAAGAGCTATCCCCCCAACTTTATGCATCCTTTTCCATTCCTTGGAAAGACATCTTGTAATTTCTTATCCCATGCTGACACTGATATTCCTTTTAATCTGACTTGTTCTGGACACAAGTGCTGAGACAACCCTGGCAGTCTCTCCCAGAACTCTGAACAAGAAAGGTACATGTGCAATTAGTCTGCTTGCTTATGAGATGGTCAAACCAGACAAGGAAGTTCTGGAAGGAAGGTACATAAATGAAATATTTTTCTGCCTCTGCTTTTCCCAAGGAGTCTTTGTGACTCATCTCAACTTTGGGTTTCTACTCACCAGTTGACAGGCATGCTTTATCCTCTCCACAATCCCATCAAGTCCCAAGTATTGTAATGACAACCACAGTGGCAGGGCACGGAGTTTGTCTGCTGGTTTATTTGATGTAAGACCAGCAACTAAAGTCTAAAAAAGCCAATATGGGTTTATTAAAGCCATTGAAATCTCACAACAGAATTAACTAGCTACCATTCACTACGCACTTAGTATATGACAGATGCTATGCTAAACACTTGGCTTGCATTATCCATTTGATCTTCCAACAACTCTATGAAGTAAATACTCTAACTTAGCTCAGAGACCTTGCTTTGTCTAAGGGTTCAACGGCTAAGGAGTGGCAAAGCCAGGATAAGAATCCAGAATGGGCTCACATCCCAGAGCCAGAGCTCCTAGACATTCAAAAGGTAGCCCCTTCCAAGGTTGCTCTAAGCATCCTCAAATACCTGACCATTATCAACTGAGCAAGACATCAACTATTTTAGCAGTAATCGCTTAAATCTTACTTTGCACGTGCCTATCACTAACTGAGCTATCATCAAAAACCACAACTGTGATTTTTTTTTTTAAATGTTACAACCTATTGGACAACGTGGACCAGGAGCTTTAAAATGCTCCCACTTAGTAATTCCACTTCTGGGAATCTATTCTAAAAAAACAACTTGAAATGTAGAAAGATGTTCATTGCCTTATTATTTCAGTAACAAAAATTTGAAGACATCCTAAAAGTTCACAAATGGAGACTAAGTAGTGTCAGAATATTATGCAATCATAAATTAATCATAAAAAATTCTTTATACACACAAGGAAGTATGGAGTGAACGGAAAAATACATATGGTATGGTTTCACTTACGTTAAACATTTTTTTAAATGTAATATAAGTGGAATTAAGGATATTTTTCACTTTTTCCTTTGTTTTTCTGTATTCTGCCCCTAAGCCAATAATGAGTATTAACCACTCCCACTCCCTCTCCAGGAAGAGTAAGCTTACCAAGGCAGGATCATCATGTTTATAGAGTGTCACTGCAGGAACAGCTGGCAAACCCAGCCACGGGCCAGGAGTCATCGTCATGCTGTCACATTTAGTTGCAGCCTACCAAAAAAAAGAACAACTCTTTGTTAGGTTATAAGAATACACTAAACCCAACACCCTCCTCCACTCATAAAAACCACGAAAAGCCATCAGGGATTGAGTGGTTTTAAATTCCTTCTTTAAAACACCGATATTTAGTAAATCAACAACATACCAGCACTGATGAGGAGACATAACCTAGAGCCAATGTTGCCAGATTCACACTGGAAGAAAAAACACCAATCTAAGAACTAATTATTTAATGTTGCTTATTCACTAAGTATGTAATTAAAAACAAAAAAGTCTGTGCTGTTGCAAGTTGACATTTAAGTGTCTTTCAGCTTTATTAGCTTTTATAACAGCAACAAAGGATATGGTTTATACAAATTTCAGGAAAACCTTGAAAATGCATTCAAATCAAAATGTTTCAGGGGATACCCCCTACTTATTTGGCATAATGGCAGTATTATTCTCTACCTTTCACAGCTCCTCTTTTCTAGTCACCATGCTTTTCTTAGGGATAAAAGACAATTGCCTTGTATGACATTGTGGGTATGGGATGCACTGACCACCTGCATCCTCTCTCCTCCTCTCTTAACAGCACTCCAACAGCCTTCTGGGAAACCATCCCAAACTCCTCCATCAACCACCACCTGCTCCAGAGGTGGGCAAACAACCTACTATCAGAGGATTACTTTTCCCTGGCCACAGTGATTGTTTCAATATGAGATTTCTGTTGGTTGGGACTTCTGACCCACTGAATACAAAGCTGGAAAGAAAGCTGGAGTTTCTGCAGCTACTTTGCACCATAACAGGAAAGTCTGTCCACAGACAGAGCCAAGATAGAGGAAATCAAGTCAAATGATTGTGATTAGGGGAAGGGACAAGAAGAAAGACATTGAATCCTGGTTGACATTGTGCCTAAAGCCAGTCCTAACACTAGTCTTTTTAGTTATGTAAGCCAATATAATCTCCTTTTGCTCAAGCCAATTTGGGTTACTTTGTTATGTGCAACCAAAAGAGCCCATAGTGATAAATGTCCCTATAAAGTGAGAACCTAGATGTCCACTCTTCATGAGGACTATGTGCAGGCCCAACACAGAGCCAACCAACCTCACCAATCTACTCACCCCTCCACATGAAGCCATATGCCATACTGTTCACAGAGTTCTTTCAATCGCCCAATCTTGTCTGTGTGTCCTACTGCTACAGTTCCTAGGATAAAACAAATAAACAAGGATATTAAAAGGAACAAAAGTTTTCTGAGTCTTTACAGTGTAGGAGCTTTTATACACATTATACCCTATTTTATTCAGATTTTCTTTGTGGACTTACTTCGTATACAAGTTTTCAAAAATGTGTATTCTCCATTATATGTATCCAATTGTGTTACTGAAAACTTTCACCACTTATTTTCTATCTACTTGATCTGTTGATTCATGAGAAAAATATTCAAGTCTCCCAGCAAGATTGTCGGTTTGTCAATTTATACATGTATTATTATCAATTTTTTCTTAGTTTTCCTTTATACATTGCAAAGTTCATAACAAGCATTCATAACTGTTATTTCTTTTAGTAGATTATGTCTTTCATCATATGAAGCATATTTTATCTGATACCAATATTGCTATGGTACTTTCATTTTGGTCAGTGTTTGCTCAAGATATCCTTTTCTATCCTTTTATTGTCACTTTCTGGGTTATACTGCTTTAGATGTATCCTTTATAAAAAAATATACAGATGAATTTGGGTTTTTTTCACCCAGGTTCTTTGAACATGCATTCTGAAGCCAGTTTAAGTATATTAAACATTTTAAGCCACACCCTTGATAATTTGACTGCACTACAAATTTTGCTGAGCAGATCTCTTTTCAGACAGAGCTTAAGTAAAACATGGAGTCATGCATTCTCCCAACCATCCTAAATTTCCAGTTAGGAGCTTGCCAACTAGTAATATTTCGAACCTTTACCAACTGTGTGAACAAATGCAAACTAAAGAAAGTGGTTCTTTTGTGAGGTCTATGCCAGGAAAAGGGCAAAAACTTTTCCACCACACATGTAAGTCTATCTTAAAGAAACAAAACAATACAACCCTTAACTGACACCTTCAGTTTAGCTGAAACAAGATCAAACACCAAAGTATAGGTTTTGCCACATGACCGGTCCATCAAAACAAAAGCAAAGCACTATGTTTTAGTGACTGGACCATGTCCAGATTCTTTTTTCGTATTTCTTGGCAATGTCTGCTGATTAACCCTGAGATGTGTCTTCTGGCGCCTGCAATATAGTCACACTAGTAAGTCACTCAGTCACATGCAAACTGCAGCCCCTTCAGTCTAATAGGTGATTGAATATGGGTGGATTTGTGTTTCTTTTTAGACAAGGTTAAGTCAGGCAAGAAGTGGAGATTTTCCTGCTGGCAATAAAGTAGACATTTAAGTGGTTTTCCTATTTTTTTTGTTTTTTTAAACAGTTTTACTGTAGTATAATTTGCATGCAATAAAATTCACTCATTCAAGTGTATAGTTCGAGTTATGACAAATGTATACAGTGTGTAACCACCAACACAATCAGCATATAGAATATTTCTATCACCCCAAAATACCCTCACCCCCCTGCAGTCACTCTTCTCATTACTCACTGGCCCCAGACAATCCTGATCTGTTTCTGTTACTGCAGTTTGTCTTTTCTAGAATTTCGTATCAATAGAATCATACATCATGTAACTTTCTGTGTCTGGCTTTTTATACTTAGCATGCTTTTGAAATTCATCCACGTTGATGTGTGTATCAGAAGTTCTTTCCATTTACTGCTTAGTATTCCATTAGATGGATATACCACAATTTGTCTATTCACCAGGTGAAGGACACTGGGTTGTTTCAGTTATGAACATGAACACACAGTCTGTGTTGAGATATGTTTTCATTTCCCCCTGACAAATACCCAGAAGTGGGACTGATGGGGAATCTGGTAATTTGGGGATTAGCCCTTTGAGGAACTGCCGAACTTTTCCAGAGTGGCTGTAATATTTTGCATCCTACAAGCAATCTATGAGAGCTCCAGGTGCTCTGCATCTTCACTAGCATTTGGCACTGTATTTTTTTTTTTTTGAGATAGGGTCTCACTCTGTTGCCTGGACTAGAGTGCAGTGATGTAATCATAGTTCACTGCAACCTCTAACTCCTGAGCTCAAGCGATCCTCCTCCCTCAGCCTCCCAAGTAGCTGGGACTATCGGCATGTACCACTGTGCCCAGATTAAGTGTGACATTTTAAAATTCCGTTTAGAAAGGATAAAGTGCATCAAGGAGAACATAGAGAAGCATTTATAATATAAATGAAAAAGTATACACATATATGCAAAATAACTTCCAAAACAAATCAACAATTAAAGAAAATCTAATGAGCTAACTTTACTGTTATAGTTTTCATAACAATGTGGATATAGACTATCTTAAACATGTGGCACACAAATATTTCTTAAGAACTGGTCTTTTTAGGCTAAGTACTTAGCCTCTCTCTTATATATGCAAAATGGAAGATTCAGGTTCATGATGCCTACCAGCATTTGCGACAAGCAAGAGAGGTAGTCTTCCTCGTTCTATGTCATCTTTAATCAGTTTCTCCAGGAAGGCAACATCCTGGGACCAAAATACAAACCATAAAAAAATGAGGCAATCAATATAATAGCTATACAGTGAAAAATTAAGACTTCCAAAAAAGCAGATGACTCTCCAAATTAATCACTTGAATCAGTTCTCCATTCTTGACAATTTTTCTGTTTTCTCTAATTATAGATATGAAAATCAAATAGTTTTCCTTGGAGACTAGAAAAATTAGTTAAATGAGATTAAAGGTACAAACTCTATATATGTGAGAACATTTCTCTAGTTTTAAACATTTAATAAAGAAAATGTTCTCTCAAACCCCTTTATTTTTTATTTTATTTTATTTTTGAGACAGAGTCTCACTCTGTTGCCCTGGCTAGAGTGCCATGGCATCAGCCTAGCTCACAGCAACCTCAAATTCCTGGGCTCAAGCAATCCTTCTGCCTCAGCCTACTGAGTAGCTGGGACTACAGGCATGCACCACCATGCCCAGCTCATTTTTTATATATATGTTTAGTTGGCCAATTAATTTCTTTCTATTTTTAGTAGAGATGGAGGTCTTGCTCTTACTCAGGTTGGTTTCCAACTCCTGACCTTGAGCGATCCTCCCGCCTCGGCCTCCCAGAGTGCTAGGATTACAGGCGTTAGCCACTGCACCCGGCCTTCCAACCCCCTTCAAAACAGCCAAGAATATATTTCTACCACTACTCATTAATGTACCCGAACTAGAAAATGAAACTACCTTGAAAAAAGAAATGCAGAGCTCTAAAATCTATCCCTTTCTTTTCCTTTTAGATTCAGTATGGACAGGTTTATCACTTATATGTCTAAAAATAAGATGAATAATTTCATAATTACAATGAAAAACCTCATTTTCAAAATCTGCCCATTCATAAATCTAGTCAACAGTGTGATAACTACTTAAAGTATGAGCTTTAGAAGGAATTTCTGGTGCTTAACTGGGCTGCCACGTTTCTACTTAAAGCAGGTAATACAGTGATTACAAGATTCTTTAAGAGCCAGGTGTTCCTGACCTATATACCAACCAGCCTTCATGGACATTCACATAGAAGCATGTATTACACAATGGAAAGACCTAAGCAGTAAATGAATAAGCTAATAATCATCAGCAGGCCTGCAAACAGAATTTCATTTGAAAGGAACACAGTTTCAAAACACAATTCCATACTATTTTACAAACCAAAAGAACTCACCATCTGATGCTGGGATCCAAACATAGTGTTACAGGGCACACGACACAAGCAGGGGAAGGGCAAGCCGAGCTACAAGAAGAAACATGCAACTGTATAAAAAACATCTCTGCACCATTCACTTTGTGAAAGACTGTGGCTCTAAGACAAGCCACAGTCATTCTGTTAAAAAATATCTCTCCTTAGTAACTCTAAATATTATAAATAGATGTTAAAGCACATTTAGAAAGTCAAGCCAAAAAAACAGTGAATTTCCAAGTGCTTTACAAGAGGATATGATGTAAAATTTTCTAAATGAATCAAGTAACTATTTTTGGTATATTCTAAAATATATCAAAAGACAAAAACACTTTTCTAAATGGAGAAATAACTCGGCCCTGAGCATTTCTGGGGAGCAATTTAGGATCTTCCTGCAAGCATTACTGGTAAATAACACCAGCTAAAGGCATTCAAAGAACAATATCTTATCTATGGGTCCACTCACCACTAAAAAGTAATAAATATGGATTGGCAGATATACTTTTCTTAAGAGGAGTGAAGTCAGTTTTATGGATGGAGTTATTGTCAAATTAATTTCATATTCTTCATATTTAGCTTCTAAACCTGTGAGTTTATAGTTTTAGTAATCATAAACAGTTGTAGCATATTGTTCTAAGATAGAATTTAAACACCAAACATTTAATGAGCACTTTATTCATACATTTTCCTCCTTAAAGGATTTTTTTTAATTATGAATGTTCAGGCAAGGATCAAAAAAAAAAAATTATGAATGTGATACCCAAATAAAACAAATCATCAAAAAATACAGGTATTAAAAGTGAAAATTTCCTCCCAACTTCCCAAAAGTCACCAGTCCACCACTGTTAACAGTTTAATATATAACTTTGCAGACATTTCCTAGGTATAACTATATTTATATATTTTTCTAGGCATAAAAATGTTCAAGCATATACACACTTTTAAAAATATGAACATGACCATCTTATATATACTGTCCCATCTCCTGCCTTTCTCACTTAATAGAAAACACTCCTGCCGCATCTTCTGAAGATTGGATTGTTGTCCCAGGACAGCCTTTGGTCAATAAGAGCCTTACTTGCAGTAGGTATTCAATAAGTAATTTGTTTAATGTTTCTACAGGAATATTATACAGCTCATTCTGAATACCCTCAAGAAGAGACTTTAATTTCCTGCCACCAGTGATCGCAGCTCAAAATCAACTTAAGACTTTGAGTTTCCTCTACATAACCTCCCCTCCCCAAGGACTCCTATATCTTATAGAAGAAGAACCCTCCAATCCTATGTGTTTTGCCTTAAAACATTCTTGGCCAAAAAAAAGGGTTAACAATTTCTTGTCTCAAGGTAGTGTCCCCAGTTGGGATACATGCACATGACTTTAAAACTGGTAATGCTTTTTAATCTTGCAATTCTAGACTACTCTGAAAATCCATCTGAGAAATATAATCCTAAATATAGAAAAAGATTTATGCACAAGGATGTTCATAACAGCACTACACAAAGAGCATTACCTAAAAATGGTCATAAAAACCAAAAGAATGGAAACATTCTAATTGTCCAAAAGGGAAACAATTAAATTACTATCCACTCACTGGAAGAAATATTATGAAGATATTAAAAACAAACTTTGCTTTGAAAAATTGTTAAAACTCCTATATGATAGTGAGTAAAAAAAAGCCAGACATAACCATGTAAACACACCCACACATACATCTTTTGATCAAAGTCTGGAAATAAATCAAGTAAAATGTTGACTATGGTTGCCTTCAGGCAATTAAAAAATATATCTATCATATCATATATGTCTAAATCTATTAATATATATTTTTATATAATGACAAAACAAGCATATATGAAGACCATCTTTTTTTTTTTTTTCTCTCAAAAAGAACACCAGCTAGAAAAAAGGGTCTGTACACTTTAAAAGTTTCAGGACAAAACATTGTTTCTTTACAATATCCACCTTATATTACATTACCTGATTACAAAGGTATTGGCCCAGGCCAGGTCTAGCAGCAGCACTAAGATATATTACAGGTTTTTTGTTATATAACACATCGAATCCATCCACTACAAAGTCTTCATAACGAGAATGAATGGCAAGCCTACAGATTTTTGCAAGTCCTTCTCTTTCTTCTTCGTGGAAATAAGCACAGCCATTTTCATACCTGGTAAGAGACACCCTTCTATTAATATGCTCTTATTTCTGGTTAATTCTGATTTTATAAGCCAATCTTATGGAGGAAATTCTTTTCTCAAGCTAGAAACTGACATCCAGATCCAGCAGAAAGGAATGTGAAAAATCCTCAGCTTAGATGACTGACAACTCATTACAGTTGGTGGTTATGAAGGAGACAATGACCCTTCATCCATACCCAATTCCATGAAAAGCAGAAACTATGCAAACAAGTTTTGGAGTCCCACAGATACAAAAAGCCTGAAGATAATGGTTCTGACTAAGGCCAGCACTAGATAACATGGGCATAGTTATTAGCAGATCAACAGCTGTAAAACATCCAAAGTTAACAAAACTGCCATAAACACCAGTCATGCTAACGTTTGCTTTTGCTATAATCTGTCTGGGGCTTTTTATTCTTTTCAATCGCCTAGGAGGGGCAATTTCAATTACAGACATTAGATTTTTACTAAACAACAAAAAATTTCTCCTTTAATAAAGTTAAGCAAACTTATACTCTTGCTAGGCCAAGGTCCTTCTCAACATCTGAAAGTGAGGGTCTCTCAAGTTCAATGTTTCAGTGATAGGCAAACACTCCTTTTCCATTAAAGTAATAGCATAAACACAGTAACATGGATCCTGTGTCTCCTACTGAATCCTTAATCTGGTGTAACTCCTTAATTATGCCAAGATTATCAAAGTATAAAGCAAATTTCAATTTTATAACATATACTCATTTCCCTTACGACAGAGCTTCCTTTCTACTAAAGCATAAATTCATATTTTAAAAGTATAGTCAGCCCTCTAAATCTGTGGGTTCTATATCCATGGACTCAACAAACTATGAATAGAAAATATTCAGAAAAAAAGGTTGGTTGTCTGTACTGAACATGTACATACTTTTCTCATCGTTATTCCCTAAACGATACAATACCAAATATTACATAGCATTTACATTGTATTAGGTAGTATATGTAATCTGGAGATGATTTAAAGTATACAAGAAGATGTTCATAACTTATATGCAAATACTATGCCATTTTATATAAGAGACTTGAGGATCTGTGGATTTTGGTGTCCGTAGCAGGGTCTTGGAATTTGAATTCAAATCATTGCTCTATTTTCTATTAAATGTGTCCTAATTAGAAACTTTAAAATAAATAACTGCTGACACTATCACACACATAGGTGCTTAAATTCTCTCTCTTTACATATATTAATCTGGTTAATTAATGTACTGGATTCGCAACAAGTCCATTAAATAGTATAATGCTCTCCCTATCTAACAGCTGGCAAAACTGAGGCTGGCAGAGATTAAGAGTAGGCAAATCTGAACTGAGGTAGTATAGTTCCAGCAACAGCTCTCTCACATTCTATACCCAACTCATAAATGTCTTCACTGGAAACTAAAGACTCATCATGTCTTTACCTGAAAATTCTGCACAGCCATAAGGTGGTATCTGAAAGTATCCTAGTTGTAAGTTTCCTCAGCTTCTCTTTGTCCAGAGTTGAAATATAAGCTCCCAGACTATGCCCCAACAAAGCCATGTGACCTTGTTCTCCAATATTCTGGATTCTGTTAAGCAAAATTTATTAAAGAAAGTATTAGAATCAAAGCATAAAAAAGGACATACAGCTTAGGGACAAAGTATTTCATAGACATTTCTGTCAGACTTGAAATCTACTTAATGACCTAAAAGGCAGAAATTCAGATTAATTTAGAAAATTCCATACATATAAAGTACTGATAGTTTGGAGAGAAAAATACTTTTAAAATTCAAGTCCTAAGAGATAAATACCTCTCTTTCTTTTTTTTGCCTCCTTGTAACCATAAATTATTCCTCTTTTTACTGAGCATCTACAAACTATTTTTGATAATTTCCTGTTAAAATATTTTAAATTAAATACCGGCCTTAAGAACTATGGAGGGTAGAGCTAAAATAAAAGGGGCAGAAAATATTTTTTAAAGACTTATTAAAGATCAATTCCCTGGCCTGGAGTGGTGGCTCACACCTGTAATCCTAGCACTATGGGAGGCTGAGGCAGGAGGATTGCTTGAGCTTAGGAGTTCCAGACCAGCCTGAGCAAGAGCAAGACCCCCATCTCTACTATAAATAGAAAGAAGTTAGCCAAACAACTAAAAACATAGAAAAAAATAGCCGAGCATGGTGGCGTGTGCCTGTAGTCTCAGCTACCCAGGAGGCTGAGGCAGGAGGATTGCGTGAGCCCAGGAGTTTAAGGTTGCTGTGAGCTAGGCTGACACCATGGCACTCTAGCCCAGGCAAGAGAGTGAGACTCTGTAAAAAAAAAAAAAAAAAAAAAAAGATCAATTCCCTGCATTAAATAGCTATTTATTACAATGCTACTACAAATTCTCGGTATTGTTTTTTGTTGGGTTTTTTTTGTCTGTTTTTGTTTTTTAAAGACAGAGTCTCACTCTGTTGCCCGGGCTAGAGTGCCGTGGCATCAGCCTAGCTCACAGCAACCTCAAACTCCTGGGCTCAGGCAATCCTTCTGCCTCAGCCTCCCGAGTAGCTGGAATTACAGGCATGCACCACCATGCCCAGCTAACTTTTTCTATATATTTTTAGTTGGCCAATTAATTTCTTTCTCTTTTCAGTAGAGACGAGGTCTTACTCTTGCTCCGGCTGGTTTTGAACTCCTGACCTTGAGCAATCCGCCCACCTCAGCCTCCCAGAGTGCTAGGATTACAGGTGTGAGCCACTGTGCCCAGCCTAGGTATTGTTTTATACAATTAAAACGGACTAATTTCCCTTCTAAAGAATAACTGTAAATAATAAGTTTATAATTGTTAACTGTAAACAATAAGAAAAAGACAACCAAATAGGATTGTGGGTGAAGGACAGTTTGTGGAAAGGGAAATATAAAAGGGAATCTTCTGTCTTTTGATCTCAAAAGATAAAAAGACACTTGATCTGGTTCATAATAAGCAAAATACAAATTTAAATTATGCTGAAATAAAAATTTTCACTTGTCAAATTTCTCACTTATTATAATAGAATATCATTTACCAAAGATGTTTGAGTCTGACAACACCCTTACAGGCAAAGGTGAGGGAAAAGAAGCACTCTCATACACTGCTGGTGGGACTGTTAAGCGGCACAACTTCGTGGAGGGAAATTTGGCAATATCCATCAAAATTACAAAAGCACACACTAGTTGAGCCAGCAATCCCACTTTGAGGACTTTATCCTCCAGACACACTTGCTTCTGAGAAATGACCCATGTTGAAAGTTACTGGCTACAGCAATGTTTATAACCGTTAAACATGAATAAGAGACTAATTAAATATATTCATCCATTCAAAGTGAAACTAAACAGGTTTTTTTTTTTTTTTTTAATTGTTATTTGATCTTTTTAGAGTCAGAGTATCACTCTGTCACTCAGGCTGCAGTGCACTGGCACAATCATAAGTGCACTGTAACGTCAAACTCCTGGGCTCAGGCGATCCTCCCACCTTGGCCTCTGGAGTAGCTGGGACTATAGGCACATGCCACCATGCCCAGCTAATTTTTAAATTTTGTGTAGAGAAAAGGTCTTGCTATGTTGCCCAGGCTGATCGCAAAGTCCTGGCCTCAAGCAACCCTCCCATCTTGGCCTCCCAAAGTCCTGGGATTACAGATGTGAGCCAATACATGTGGCCTAAACAGCTCTTAAAAAGGAGAAAGCCCCTGGGAAAAACACAAGATGCAGAACATGTGCATAGGATTTATGTATTGGAAGGGTGGGCATGGACATTTTGCTTGTGTATACATACACATAAAATGTCTCTGGAAGAAGACACAAAAAAATGGTAGAACAGTCTATCTCCAAGGAAGAGAACCAGGTAGGGAGGCAGAGGTAGAAAATTATCTGTGTATACTCTTTTTTACCTTTTGAATTTTGAACCAGGAGAGCACATTACTTATTGCAGGAAATTAAATTTTTAAAAATTAAAGAAAAAAATAAAACTAAATAAATAGCCAGTCAGTTCAGCTGTAGCAATTCTTAGCAAGCAGAAGCACCAAACCAGAAAAGCACACAGCACTTATTCTTCAGTTCTTTTGCCAGCCCCTCCCTAAGATACAATACCATAAAAACAGGATCTAATTTTGTAAACGTCTTCCTTTTACAAGATAATGTATATAAATGTCTTTCTGAAGAGAAAAAAAAATGAGTATTTTACTGTCATATAAACTCTTTTCTTTTTTTCTTTTTTGAGACAGTCTCACTCTGTTGCCCGAGCTAAAGTGCCATGGTATCAGCCTAGCTCACAGCAACCTCAAACTCCTGGGCTCAAGCGATCCTTCTGCCTCAGCCTCCCGTATAGCTGGGACTACAAGATGCACCACCATGCCCAGCTAATTTTTTCTATTTTTGGTAGAGACGAGGTCTCACTCTTGCTCAAGCTGGTCTCTAACTGCTAAGCTCAAACGACCCACCCGCCTCAGCCTCCCTGTGTGCTAGGATTACAGGCGTGAGCCACCATACCCAGCCTTACTATCATATATGACTCTTAATGAAATATAGTTTCTCAACTGAGCAACCTGTCAGAATGCAATCACTACTGAAGTCAAGAACGCGCAGACTTTCAAAGAGAAGCTGCCAAGTTCTCCATTACCGAGTGCTCTGGGGCTCCTCATCTTCATCTCCATGCATGAGGTTCTGGACTAGCTGGAGGATGCTCACCATATCTTGGCCACTGCAGAGTAAAAAGAGTTGATGGACAGGAGCACACATCCTCAAAATTCTCTTACTTATTCTCTCATCCAACTAGTTTTGGTAAAATGTCATTTTGTCTTGTTTTTTAAACTGAGTAACTACAAGTGAGCGAATGTTTTGAAATACAGTTTATAATTTTATAAAAACAAACCTCAAATTACAAATTGAATTCTGAATATAACCTTACTTGTAAGGAAAAAAATCTACCTAAATATGAGTTAGATTTTTTAAAATGTCACCAGTTTTGCTCTAGTAACATTTCTAGATATTTCATTTGAATCTTGGAGAAGACAGAGAATATTTAATAAGCATGTAACAAGGGCTGAAAATCCTTATAAGATGATCGAACATCACAGAAGCAGAAAGAATTCTCCAATGCCACTGGTATATCCAGCTGTCCTCCATGTAGGAGTCTTGTCTGTTTGGAATAATTGCCTTAAAAACATAATACAAGCATCATTTATTACCAGTTCTTCACCAAGCTGGGAAATTTGAGATCTGCTTAGAGCATAAAGAGATTTACTTCTATTGAACATATGTTACTAAATGCTCATTATATAAGTATGTGGATACGTATGAAAAGAATGCAAATGGCTGTAGTAAGCAATGGTAAGGCACTTGCAACTCGTGTGATGTGAAAATATTGTCCCTTCATTAATAAGACTATGACAAAGTTTCCTCTTTCAAAAAAAACAGCACTGTCAAAACAGTGCCCCCCAAACTATCCTTCCCAAGGTCCTGACCTTCACGTCTTTGAATACTGTAGGGATTAGGGCAGGCAGGGGACCTTGAGGCATACTTGGATGCTTGCCACATGACCTTGAGCAAGCTACTTAAACTCACTAAATCCTGACATTATAGAATTGTGAGGCTGCAATCAGACAGAGCATGTATAGCATTTAATTCTATGCCTGCTAGCACATTACTAGGCTCAAATGTTGGGAATTAGCATCTTTAAGCATGAATACTCCTGATCAGTGGCTTTAATGTGCTGTACTGAGAATTACAGATGTTCTTGGGAGTATCTCTTATAGGGAAACTCCTGTGGAATCAGGACACTAAACAAACCTTAAGCCCTTTTGTTCCCTTCAGCCTGGGATGAGGAAATTTATAGAATTTGCTTCCTGTTCTGAGTTGTAGAAAGTACTTCACAGCTCAAGGGATTTACATCAGCACCATTTATGCTACAAATAGGAGCATAAAATATTATGCTAATTTTTAAAATATTAGTATTTGGGTTTGTTAGATGTGACATTTATTGGCACACTGTGAACCTTCCTCCATCCTTTTCTTTTGCAACCTTGTTCAATTTATATTCAGGTCAACTTAAGAGAGTTGTACTATTTACCGATGTTAAGTTTCCTGGTTATAAAAGAAGAAAATAGTAAGTTTGTCTCAGGGAGCTGAGCTGGGGTGTTAATTCCACATGACTACTAATATCTTGTGAAAACTTCCCTGCTAGCTCAAACCACAAAGGCTTGACAAATTTGTTTCAGTTGCTAAAAAATAAATCACTCTGCCAATAAATGATTAAAATTGACATTTTCCTCTCATTTATTATAAAAATGATAAATCTTGTCAAATTAAAATATCTCTCAGAATAAGATTCAGTCTACCAAAGAGATTACAGGTTTCAAGGATGAACTATGATACTCCAGTGATAAATTCACTTATCACTTTTGAGTTATGAAATTGTATTAAATTCTGGATCGGAAAGGGAAAGAAGCCAGTAGGCTCACCATTATCACCAACCAGCCAATGGCATTTCAGTTTTCTAATGTTATACTGCACATAATTCTATTTAAATTTGTTCTGTCCTCATTAAAACTTACCTTGTAAATCAGTGATAGTAAAATCTTGGTTTAAGAAAAATTTACTTCTCCTGTGGCTATTGTTAAAAAAAAAAAAAAGAAAGAAAGAAAAGAAAAATTTACACCTAACTAAAGGTACTAATTCTTATTGCCACCTACCTGCCCTGGAGTGGCCCTGGAATATCCCCTGATACGATCTTCTTTCCATTTTCCTCCTCTGTTCTTCTAATTTAAAGGAAAGAAAAACTGTTCATTTGTTTTATCATATTAAATTTCTAACATCTGAACACACAAACATGTGACCGTGTTGCTTATAACCTCAAGTGACTAGTACAGGATTTGAAACATTTATCACATCTCCCTACCCTCAGTTTTGCATATAGTTTGAGTTTTTGGAAAAGAACATGAATGAAAATTTCAACCCATTTTCTTTGTTACTTTGTTAGTTGATACCTTATATGACCTGAATATATAATAAGTATTTACACAGTCAAATCAATATATTAAGTAAATGAAACTCTTAATAGAATTGAAAATTGTAAGTCCTTCCCCTCAATTTCAAAATCCTTTAATTATAAGGCACCTGCCCAACACAAATACCAATCTTAATCAGCTGAAGCTATGTGTGACATTCTGAAGGCAAGAGGTGTCTTTAACAGAAAGAAACCAGAGCCACCAGTTTCACAACAGGTTGAACATGTTTAATACAGTCACCTCTGTCCTACATGCTCACCTCTGACTGTCCTCTAGCATCTTCATTGCCTCCTTCAAGTTTTTTCCCATTTCAGCTAATGTAGGGTCTGCTATCTGGGAAACAAAGCGAAAAAAGGTTAAATTTTAATAATCTTCTATTACCTCTGTAACTTGATTCATCCAGAAAACTATATGCAAGGCCACTTTCTTCTGGATTTATTATAAAGTACAAGGATTACAAAGTACATGCATGATTCTAAAACTTTAAACAATATAAAAGTGTAACAGAAAATGTAAATACTACTTTCTACCACTACTGATATTTACTACTTTATAGTACATGATCAATCCATGTCATTATGCCCACCCTCCTTCATTCTCCTTAATGGTTGTACTTTATTCCATTCTATGGATGTACCATAGTTAATTTAGCTAGTCCTGAATTAATAGACCCTTAGCTTATTCCAGGTTTTCACTAGTAGAAGCAAGTTCCAGAAAAGTCTTTGCAGCATGCTATTTGTTTTACCATTGTAGAAGGCTGAAAAATGCACCCCCACAAAGATAGTCACATAATTGCTGGAGCCTGTGAATGTTACCTTATATGACAAAGTCTTTGCAGCTGTGATTAAGGTAAGGTTCCTGAGACAGTGAGAGTACCCTCAACTGTCCAGGTGAGCCCTAAATATAATCATATGTATGAGAGCGAGGGGCAGAAGGAGACTTCACACACGAGGCAGTCACAGGAAGACAGCCTAAAGAGAATTTTGAAGATGCAGGCTTTGAAAAACTGGAGTGATGGAATCACAAACTAAGGAAGCTGGCAGACACCATGAAGAGCAAGGGAGGTAACTCTCCCCTAGGGCCTCTAGAGAAAGATCAGCCCAATGCTGTGATTTCAGGCCAGTGATACTGATTTCAAACCTGCGGCCTCCCGAGGCCTCCAGAACTGAGAGAATACATTTCCATTGTTTTAAGCCGCTCAGTTTGTGAAAATGTGTTACAGTAACCACAAGTAACTAGTACAAGCATTGATATACAAGTGCTTCTACAAACACAGGGTATCTCTGGAAGCTACAGAAGCTGGGAATAGTGACTGCCTCCAGAGAAGAGAGCTAGGAAGATGTGCACAGGGTCAGAGGGAGTCTTTTCAGTTCATACCCCTTTCTTTGTTCCTTTTGAATTTTAGTATCATGTGTACATTTATATCCCATCCAAATGTAAATGAAATGAAAATTTAAAAATTTTTGCAGACTTAAAATACACACATTCATTTTCCTTTCTCTCTTTTTAATCTCTGTAACTTTTTTTTTAAGAGACAGAGTCTTGCTGGAGTACAGTGCCACCATCATAGCTCACTGTAACCTCAAACTCCTAGGCTCAAGCAATCCTCCTAAGTAGCTAGGAATACAGGCATGCACCACCATGCCCAGCTAATTTAAAAAATATATATTTTATAGAGATGTGGTCTTGCTATGTTGCCAAGGCTAGCCTGGAACTCCTGGCCTCTAGGGATCCTCCCATCTGGGCCTTCCAAAGTACTTGAGATTACAGGTGTGAGCCATCACATCTGGCTTCTGCAGCAATTTTTCAGGAGAAAAATCTTATTTCCTTGAATCTCTATATAGTATGAGTTGTTATAAGAAGTTACAGAAGCGCTCTCTTTTGCTCCCCTCTCCCTCTTTCAAGTGTACTGCTTGAAGGAGGACCTGTGTTTATCTTTTCTCTTCATATTGCTTACTGTACCTAGTAGTACCTTACACAGAGTAGGTATGCAATTAAGTATGTATATAACCTTTAGTATTGCATTGCCTACTCAAAATTGTTTTTAAGAAATTCTAATCAGTTTGTCAATATAGGAATCAGAAAATGTTAAATTCTAGGAGAGACCTCAGGAATCTAGTCCAGGGATTTTCCAGCTGTGTTCTCCTGAGCTAAAAGATTTCCAGGAAGAACTCTGGGAAGAAGGGCTGGGTAGCCAGGTAGGGGTTCTAGCTCCCCATCCCCCATTATTAAGCAGATCACTTCTGTTTTACAATAGCGTTTTGAGTAAAGCCTCATTTGTAAAAAGTTCCATTAAAAAGAAAAAAAAAGTACAGCACTGAAAACGTCTGATTCCGATCTAACATCTTAGAGGTGAGGGAACTAAGAGAGGTAAAGTGACTTGCCTGAGGTCACCCTGGATTCCCAACTCCTGCCTCCTGACTCTGTTATATCACACTGACTTCCACAAGGGCTTACAAAGTAATTGTGTGGCCTCATCCACTGATTCTTACACAAAGTATAAAAATCATTTTTAAATAGGTGTTTTCAATAAAATTCACAACATAAATGTAACCATGAGAAAGGTTAAAAAGTGATCTATTAATAAAAGGCCTCAGTGCTCTCAGTTAATGCTCATGATTGGGATGAGAAACAGATAATGGCCAAGAGAATTTATCTTAACTCCTTAGTCTGCCTCATCGCCTGACATTCTAGAGTGTCCCCTAATCTGACCAAATGGAAAGATCAACAGTTTTGCTTGATCATTCACACCTCCATACCCATGCTTCTAAGAACATCTGCCCTGTCTGAAACATTCTTGCGCTTTTTATCTACCTCTAGCTACTTATCAAGCACCAATCAGTATTTCCAATGAAACTTTATAGATAAAACCATTTCACTCTTTCACATCCCCTCTATTGACACAGATGCCTTTTTTGCCTAAACCAAAAGTCTGGACTTGTTTCCTGACAAAAATGATTGTATTTATGGGGACAATGGGACAGAACATTTGCAAATGGGGCCATTCTGATATCCAACTGCCATTTATCCTCATGATTCCTTATATCCTTTACTGTGAACTGTTTTATAGATATTCTATCCAGTATAGATATGCTCCCCAATTAGATTAGAAACTTCCTGAAAGCAGAAGTTCAGACTCCTACTAATTCTGACTTCGCTTATAGGATCAAGGGTCTAAAGTCAGCTCAATCCTTAAAGACTGTCAGATTATCCCAAAAACTCCCTTAGGAAGGCATACTAAACTGAATATGAAAATACTGTCTCTCTATAAGTGAACACAGCTAATTTAACCCAAAGAACTGGAACAATTTCTTTCATCTTTCAGTTAATAGATAAAATAGTTGACTCAGTTTAGAAGCCACTTTTTATGACAATACATATTTATATGTAATAACAAGATGCTTGCTTACACTGTGAAAGACAGGAAAGAAATGCAAATTCATAATCCCCCATCTGAGTCCCTCACTCTAGAGTGCACACTCACTGAGCCGACTGGCTTACCTTCAAACTGTTCTCACTTCTATCTCTTGGGGGTAAGCCTGGGCTAGGAATAAGAGGTTAGGAAAAGTAGCATTTATAGTTAAACTGGGGTAAATTAAAGGTGAATATCATATTACTCCAATGTCGTACAACCTAATGTGCATGTTGTGTTAACTGGATGAGCCAAAATATAAAATATTATCCAGGTTCAGGATAATATTAGGCTCTAAATCAAGGAATGCTCTAAGAAAAGTAGATTCATTAATTGATCACTTAAAACTAAAAGCGTGCCTACAGGCTGGGCAAGGTGGCTAACGCCTGTAATCCAAGCACTCTGGGAGGCTGAGGCGGGTGGATTGCTCAAGGTCAGGAGTTCAAAACCAGCCTGAGCGAGACTCTGTCTTTACTATAAAAATAGAAATTAATTGGCCAACTTATATATATATATATAAATTAATTAATTAGCCGGGCATGGTGGCGCATGCCTGTAGTCCCAGCTACTCGGGAGGCTGAGGCAATAGGATTGCTTGAGCCCAGGAGTTTGAGGTTGCTTTGTGCTAGGCTGACACCACGGCACTCACTCTAGCCTGGGCAACAAAGTGAGACTCTGTCTCAAAAAAAAAAAAAAAACTATGCCTACACAAGCTTCTACTGAGGGCAGCCACTAACTTTCTTATTCACGTTTCATATCCTTAGTACCTGCTACAGTGCCAGACAAGGTAGCCATATGATCAACATTAATAAGCAATGGCAGGAGAACAGCCAGACACAAACCTAAATGAATGAAGAATTAAATTGTATAAAGATGTCTATCATTCAGTATATAGAAGGAGGCTGTTCTATGATACTGAGGGGAAACAATAGTATTCTATGTCAGGTTTCTTCTACCTAGGAAGAATGTCATATAATTTCTTTCTTTTTTTGGAGACAGAGTCTTGCTCTGTCACTCAGGCTAGAGTGCAGAGGCATCATCATAGCTCACTGCAACCTCAAACTCCTGGGCTCAAGTGATCCTCCTGCCTCAGCCTCCAAGTAGCTGGGAGTTATGATCCCTAATAATTACTAACACTTACTGGATTGCTTACTATATTCCAGGCTTTATGCCAATTAACCCCTTACACGCATTACTTCCTAACCCCAAATCAGTATGATTTAGATCCAGAATTTATTTTTTATTTTTAGGCACAGGATCTCACTTTGCAGCCCAGGCTGGAGTGCAGTGGTGTGATCCTAGCTCACTGCAGCTTCAACTCCATGGGCTCAAACAAACCTCAGCCTCCTGAGTAGCTGGGACTACAGGCCTGCACCACCATGCCAGGCTAATTTTTTTTTTTTTTTTGAGACAGGGTCTTGCTCTGTTGCCCAGTCTAGAGTGCAGTGGCATCATCATAGCTCATTGCAACCTCAAACTCCTGGGCTCAAGCAATCCTCTTGCTTCCGCCTCCCAAGTAGCTGAAACTACAAGTGCAAGCCACTGTGCCCAGCTAATTTTATTTTTCGTAGAGACAGGGCCTCGATATTGCCCAGGCTTGTCTTGGAACTCCTCGTCTCAAGTGATCCTCCCACCTCCACCTCCCAAAGTGCTAGGATTACAAGTGTGAGCTACTGCATCTGGCCTGATTTTTTAAATTTTTTGTAGAGATGGGTCTCACTACGTTGCCCAGGCTAGTCTCGAACTCCTAGCCTTAAGCAATCCTGCCTAGGCCTCCCAAAGTGCTGGGATTACAGAATTTAAATCAACATCTTTATTACTCTAGAACCAGGGCTCTTAACCACTAGGCAATACTGCTTCTCAATTTTACCAATAAGGAAGCAACTCATCCTTTGAAAAAGCTCTGTACTCAAAAATCATA